TTATTATTCGCCGATTATATAAAGATTTCAAATTTGCTGGTGTTTTACATTTTTCTTTATCTCATATTTCTCATCGTGTGAATGTGGGCGTTAAATCGACTTACATGCATACACATATTCACACAGGAAACCATAGCCACAACAGTGCCAACACTCACACTCATACCATAAATCACATCCACACCCTTTCGTTACAATCGTGCTTTTTGATGCGCTTGCAAGGAGCATGAATTTTGAACTGTCGCAGACTCTTACCTATTAAATACAAGGAACGAAAATACAACTGGAAACAAAACAAATTCAAACATTTTTATTTTTAAAAAAATTGTGAAATTTCCATTCCGAATTGTCCGACTTGCGGAAAAGCTTTTATTCTGATTTAAATGAATAGCTTTGTTTGTTGTTGATGCATTATTAGATTCAATTTATTTCATATATTTTAGTATTTTTGTCCAATTCATTAATTGATATTATTCGACAACCTTATGAATATGTATCATTACTGTTTGTTAAAAAGCATTAACAATCGGTGACTTCATACTATTTAGTGATTGATGTTAATAAACTTGTGCTCGATTTAAAAACAATGTCATGAATCCGCAGCAACAACGAAAATCAAAAGAAATTCAATAATAAATCAAAACAAAACCTTTCCATAAATCTCATGATGATATCTGATCATACGCATATCGAAATGTCACAGTTTTTTTTTAAAGAAAAAAGTTGACATTTGTTGTATTTTTCAGCTCCATTTTCTTTCTCTGTATTGAATAAGATATGTTCCCTAGAAATTTACGTTATGCCATTCTTTGTCATACATAAAATAAATAGCATATGGTTTTGTTGATAGAACTCACAAAATTGTACAGACTTGATTGAATGAAAAGCATTCAGTGAGTTCAGAAAGAGATGAATGTTGAAAGAAAAGCAAAATTAGTTAGATCTAGATTACTATTTCTATATCAATTGGAAATCTTTTAATATCTAAATGATTCATTTATTTTGAATATTCAAGGAAAAAAGGGAATACTACATTTGATTTAATTATGCTGATTATAATGTAATGTTTATGAATTCGAAGAATAACTGTCAATTGAATTAACAATCAATACGACAAATACAAACATCGGCTGCTTTTCTTACTGATCCATCATCATTTTGAATAATTGTCTAATGTGTATTTTGAATACAACTATGACCATATTGTTTCATAAGTTTTTTTAATATTTCCCATTGGTGAGACAAACAAAACTTGTTCACGAATTTTGACATCTGTCACTTCATAGAAAACTTCTGTCAATTTGTTGTGCTCGGCAAGATCATTTTGCAAACCGTCTTTGTTTAATTCAAGTTTGTATTCATTGAGAAATTCGATCAAATTTGTTCGTTCGCACAATTCTGCCAAACGTTGAACAATTTTCTTGTTGTTAGCATCAAAGAATTGAATTAGAAAATAAGCATTTGTATTCTTAGCATATGCCCACATGTATGATACTGTGGCTTCCATCGATGATGATGTTGAAGTCTTGATATGAAAGGCAAATGAGTGGCCATCCGTTAAATAATTACCCATCAATTGTTGAACATTGACATCGATTGGTTTGATAGCTTTTTCAACATATTCGCCGTCATTCAATCGAAAATGATTGTGTACCAGACAAACACCCAATAAATCATGCATATGATGTTTAACAAATACATGTGCCAAATTATCAATGATGCTTTCAATTCGTTTTGCTTGTTCGCCTTCGCCATTACATTCAATAATACGATTCAAACGACCTAAGTTGTTGAAAGCCATACTTGAATAAACTTTGAATAAACCGGTATCGAGCATTTTTTGAGTTACAAAAGCAGCCATCGTTTTTTGAATCAGTTCTATTTGCTATTGATGTGAAATTGAGAAAAATGAAAAATGTAAAACACCAGCAAATTTGAAATCTTTATATAATCGGCGAATAATAATATTTTTCAATGGTCGGAAGTAAAAAAGAAACGATACAGTACGGTACGTGGCCCGATAAAAATAAGTTCATTGATTCATGTTTCCTTCGATCTACTTCTCTTATTTATTTACGATGCAAAATTTCTTTTGTATTTATGAATACGTGTCCGTAATTAAGGTATCATAGAAACGGTTCGTTATAGATGCGGGTAATGATATGCAGTTGTTCACCGTAAACGAAATTAGCTATATTATGTAAAAGCGATGTAAAATATACGACATCAGTCTTATACGAATTAGTTTATTGAAATATTTCACTGAGTTCTAGTGACAAATGGTCTGCTCAGTTTTATTAGTTTGAAAATCGAGCTATGGTTACAATCATTTAGCAAAAAATTCATTGAAACAATAATATACCAATATATGAATTGTATTGACCAGATCTTCGAGAAAAAAGAAGCCTTTTCATTCAGTAGATCTTAGATGAGACCTCAAACAATTACTTTCATTGTTGCTGCTCAATTCACAGCATAATGGTTGGGTGTGGGCTGTGGATGTCGGAGAAGGGGTATCCTTTTTTCACCCACACTCCACCCCACATGTATCCACACCACTCTTACCTACACTCGGATAGACATGTTCAGCTCCTCGAGAACTTTTCGATTCGTCTATTCCTATCAAAGTTTCGAGTACTTGAGCAAAACAAACTTGTCGGAACAACTGTTTTGTGCGCTCGAGTAGAAACAAGTCGATGATTAAATTAGTTTCGAGCGGTTAAATTTATTTTAAGTTTGTGGAATTTCTTTAAAAAGAGATTTTCAAATGTCTCCTTCATTAGGCTACCTTAGAAGGATGATCTATTTTTTGCATGCATTTTGATCGTAATATCGTAACTTTCTAGAAATTACTTGACAGAAAATGACAGAAAACCAAAAGAAAAACGTCTTAACGGCTATTGTTATGAGTGTTAGAAAAAAAAGAATTAAGTATTGATTTTATACGTTATCCCAAAACTCAATTATTTATCAAATCCCATAATTATCAATAAAATTCCTTATGTGACATCTGAAACTCGCAAAAAAGAGCCAGTTCGCTACTTAGGAAAATGACGAATGATGGTGTGGGTGGATGTGTGGGTGTGGCTGTTTACGTTTTGTCCTACGACACCCACACCCACACCCACTTTTCTTTAACTCTTTTCCAACTATTTTTCTAACGATTCGAATGTCTCATGACATTGCTGATTATTGTTCTACTCTACTATAAAATCACGAACTGTTGCGATTGACTACATCAATGAGAAGAAATAAAAGGTAATCGTCAACAAAGGAAGAAAAATATTTCTGACTTCTGCAAGAGAATTTCATGATGTCGGTCGTTGAGCAATACCACAACGCGCTGACTCAAAGGGTGTGGGAGTGAGTGTCGGTAGAAATGCATTCCGACTGACACCCATACTATACACCCACCCACATCCTAGCTTCATCTGTAAGTTTACCAACATTAAGCAGGGTAACAATGCAATTATGAAAGAAACAATTAGAAAGATTGACAAACTCAAGCATGCTTGCTCTAAATTTGGCAATGCTTGTTGTTCAACAACTAAATATGAAATGCGAACGTTCTTAACGTATACCTAGCACAAAAGGATT